TATTATTATTATTAAAAACTTCCACCTCCTCCCCTCCTTCCATTCCCCTCCCCCATGTCCCTACTTCCCCTACCCCTCCCTCTCCAGTCCAAAGAGCAGTCAGGGTTCCCTGCCCTGTGGGAAGTCCAAGGTCCTCCCCCCTCCATCCAGGTCTAGGAAGGTGAGCATCCAAACAGGCTAGACTCCCACAAAGCCAGTACATGTAGTAGGATCAAACTCAGTGCCAATGTCCTTGGCTTCTCAGTCAGCACTCATTGTCCGCCACATTCAGGGAATCCGGTTTGATCACATGCTCCATCAGTCCCAGTTCAGCTGGAAGACTTTCTCTATGCTTTTTCTTTTTTTCTCTAGCCTACGTATATTTTAAAACACATTTTAAACCATTTAGAGGTTCCCCCATCTGAATCTATCTTTACTGTATATATCTTTTTCTGAGTGTGACTCTTTAATTTGCTAAGAAGAATGGCTAGGATTAGAGCTGCAGCTTTGGTGACTCACTCTGCCTTATTAGTTTCCTGAGAGTCTAACTTCATGGCAGAGGTACAAGTGGGAGCCACATTTATTGCCACAACTCTGTGGAAATTGTACATTCATGTCATTACTGAGAAGCATGCTGTCAGCTGCTCATAAACACCGTTTAAGTGTTTGGTGGCAGGGACTATTAAAAGAGCTGTGAGGTTTTTGCCACTAATGCTGAGTCAGGAAACCTCTCTTAAAAGAGCCATGCTTTTGTTTGCCTCTAGCAAACAGAGCCCACCTGAGAAAATGCTGCTACAAAGAGCTAGTTCCAGGACAGGCTCCAAAACCACAGAGAAACCCTGTCTTGAAAAACCAAAAAAAAAAAAAAAAAAAAAAAAGCCATGCTTTACTCTGTTCTTTTGTGTCTAGAATCCCTTCCAAAGCTTTCTCAGGTATTATGCAGATGTAGTTGCCAAACATTGGGTGTCATTTGTAGACAGAAATTTCTGTTCCACCTGGTCCCACAGTTGTTCAGTCCCAAAGAAACACACATCTGTAGTTATATGCAGTTGTAGCATGCATATCAAAGACTTAAAAGCTAATATCACATATAAGAGAAAGCATACAACATTTGTCTTTTCGATTCTGGACTACTTCATTCTAGATGATTCTGTTCTAACTCCATTCATTTCCATGTGGATTTCATAATCTGATTTTTTAAGAACCAAATTGCATTCTATTGTGCAAATATTCCTTTTTAAATTTTCCATTCATCAGCTGATGGGCATCTAGGCTGCATCCAGTTCCTGTTTATTATGAACAGAAAATCAATGAACATGGATGAGTAAGTATCTATATATTTAAATGAAGTATCTTTTGAGTACATGCCCAAGAGTAGAATGAACATGGATAAGCAGGTGTCTATATATTAGAATGAGGTGTCTTTTGAATACATGCCACAAAACAAAATGACATGGATGATGAAATACACACACATATTATAATGAAGCCTCTTTTGAGTATATGCCCAAGAGCAGCATAGCTGGATCTTGAGGCAGATCTTTTCCAGCCTCCTGAGGGATGGCTTCACTGATTTCTATAGTAGCTGTGTAAGTTTGAGTGTTCCCTTACCCCACATCCTCACCAGCACGAGCCATCATCATGGACATTCTGTCTTGTATAATGATCGAAGAAGGTCATTGGTTAAATAATAAAGAAACTGCTTGGCCCTGATAGGTTAAAACATAGGTGGGTGAAGTAAACAGAACAGAATGCTGGGAGGAAGAGGAAGTGAGGAAAGCTGCCTCAGACAGACGCCATGCTCCCCTCTCCTGGGCAGACGTGATGAAGCTCCTACCCAGGATGGACGTAGGCTAGAATTTTCCTGGTAAGTGCACCTTGGGGTGCTACACACATTATTAGAAATGGGCTAGTCCAGGTGCGAGAGTTAGCCGAGAAGAGGCTAGATATAATGGGCCAAGCAGTGTTTAGAAGAATACAATTTGTGTGTTGTTATTTCAGGGTATAAGCTAGCCAGGCGGCCAGAGCCAGGCTGTGGGAAGAGGCCCGCAGCTCCTACAACAGTATAAGAGGAATTTTCAAAGAAGTTGTGATTTTCATTTCCCTGATGACCAAGGCTATTGAACATTTCTTTGTGTTTCTCAGCCATTTGTGTTTCATCTTATGAGAGCTCTCTATTTAGTGCTGTATCTGGATTTTATTTGGTTAATTGTTTTCTTGATGTTCAGGGTTTGTTGTTATTCTTTATATATTTTAAATACTCTGCCCCTATATAATGTATGGGTAAAGATCTTTTCCCATAGTTTAGCCTGCACTTTGCCAGAATGATGGTGTTTTTTGCATTCTGGTATTTGTGATGAAGTGGATGGATATAGATGGTGCTGTATTAAATGAAATAAGTCAGTCAGAGTAGAGCAAATACTTGTTGAGTCCACTGACATGAACATCTAAAAACAGACATATTTATGGACATTAAATAGAATAGTAGATAGGGACAAGTGGGGTGTTACCATACAATGGTTGCAATATTTCAGCTTTGCATGAGTCGGCTCTAAAGAATGAGCAGTCAAATACTGAGTCAGTAACATACTATCCAAGGTGAACTTAAGTCCCAAGCAGACAGACTGCATGTGAGATGTTTAGAAACAGCAACGACATTAAAAATTAAGTACCCAAAATAATACTGTGATAATGGCTTCAAGGGTGTGCATGTGTGTTCAAACTCATCAAATTGTATATTAAATATGGGCAGTTCATGCATCATTTTATATTAATATGCCCATTTTCAAAGAGAAGTTTTTTTGGTATTTTACTGTATTTGCCACTCCCTCTTCATTTTTAAGGTTCCAATCTACTTGGATAGCTTCTCCCTTCATCTAGGAGCTTCCTTTATGATTTCTTTTAAAAATTATGATATCCATTTTGTTTATTTATAGTTGAGATAAAAAGCATGGGGTTTTAGTATGTAACAATGGTATTTTCAAGCACACACATTATTGTATTTTGTTCTTATTCACACTCCTGCTCCACTGCCTGCTCCCATCTGCCTACCTATCTCTTGCCAGCCCTCCCCCTCACCCCTGAGAGTTGTTATACCAAGAACAAGCCAAATTCAGAAAGACAGACACTCTAGGTTTTTTTTCATATGGGAAATAGATGTGTGTGTGTGTGTGTGTGTGTGTGTGTGTGTGTGTGTGCAAGTGTATGTGTGTGTGCACATGTGTAGAAGGAGGCTGCTTTTTCATTCTGGCTGCCCAGAACTGAAATAATAACACAAAAACTATTAATTAAAGCACTGCCTGGCCCATTAGCTCTAGCTTCTCATTGGCTACTGTTATATCTTAGTTTAACCATTTCTATTAATCTGTATATTGCCACGTGACAGTGGCTTACCAGATAAAAATTCCTACTGTCTGTCCCTGGTGGCTCCATGGCGTCTTTCTTCACCTCTTCTTTCCAGCATTCTGTTTAGTTTTCTCTGCCTAGCTCTTTCCTTTACAGCTCTGCTATAGGCCCAAAGCCTATAGCAACACATGATAGAAATCAATGAAAGCAACACATAGATAGAAGCACCTCCCACACCATTTCCCCTTTTCTGTTTAAATAAAAAGGAAGGCTTTAACATAGTAAAATTACACATAACAGGTATCTAGCAAGCATTACAGTTACAATATTTATATCTATTTTATCATTTATCATAACTAAGGAAAACTATAACTATAAATTCTTCAACTTCATCAAAGACTCCAGAAGGATATAATATTATCTAAGTAAACAGGAAGTGCATTGTAACCAACTTTCAAAACTCTAGAATTGACAGAGACATTTCACTGCCTGTCTAGTCACCCAAAGTTCTGTATTGTTGGGTATTCATCTTCAGCCTATAGGCCCATAGTACCCAGCAGACTTCTCCACAAAGCAGGAAATTTCAAAGACAGTTCTGTCTATATTGTCAGTTTGCCATTCACTTTCTTCTGTGTCCTGCAGAATGTCTTGCAGACTCTTTCATGAATCAGAAACCCAGAAGGATCGTCTCACCTTTAGGCAAGTTCAACAGTCATTTATCTGTGGGTCCTGAATGTCCAGTTAAGTAGTCCAGGTAAGAGCAGTTTCTTGCCCAAATGGCTAGCAAACTCTATAAGGAGCCACTTCAATGCCCATCTTCTCCTGAAGTAACTGGTGTTGCCAGGAGCATATGTGTCTCCCTGTCAATTGCACATGTATAGGTGTGTGGGTGTATCATAGAAGCAGACAGGACCATATCAGGGAGGAAGAAATGACAAGAAGGAGGGAGCAAGAGAAAGAGACATAGCAGGGTGTTTGTGAAACTGTTTATTTTAGAAGTCTGAGGATGAATTCCCACCAATTGAAAATGGCCATATTTTACTATAGTTTCTACAGGATATTCTCATTTGCCTTTAGAAATGAGGATTGACATTTTTCAAGAAGCCTTTAAAATATAATGGGACACGGTTTTGTCTACTGCAGGGACTACACCAGGCTACTATGAGGACTTTGACTTTACTCTGTGAAAAGCAAGACACTATTGCAAGGAATCTCATTAGTTATTGTGTTCAGAATAGACCGTAGTAGAACATGCAGCAAGAGCGTTTAGAAATCCATCCCAGGTTGGTCAAGGAGGTAGGGGTGGCTAAAGAGTACATCAGTTTTTAAGGTCAAACTGATTTCTCAGTGAGTTATATGTGAGAGGTGAAATCTCTGATAACTCATGCTATAGCCAGAAATGCTGTTATCACTACAGTTGAAACACAAATGTTGGTGATCTGAGGAGCATTTGGTAGGGGACTAGGGGGAAGTCAGGACATCAGGCCTGTCACACTTTACTGTGGTCCTGAGTGCAGTGTCTCTAGCATGCATTGTCTCCATGCAGAAGGGCATCCACCTGAGGCATGACTCCATAGTAAAATAAGGAACACACCAAATTTCTCTTTCTTTTTAGGAGTCAAACATTCTCCTCATCCCTGCTCCTCTATTTTCATTACTAGTGACCTTGGTATGAATCATTCGTGGTGTGCTTTCAAGTCACAGAAAGTCTCCGGAGGTTTGTGCTTAGCTCCCCCTGCAGCCTCAGGCACTGTGTCACTCAAAGCACAGAAGTACTTGGCTGAGTCACGCCAGTGGACTGGGTTTTTCCTCAGGTTGAAGGAGGAGTTACTTTTCACAAACTCTGCCTCAAAGCCGTTGATGCCTTTAACAAGAGTGTTTCCTGAAAAGTATTTGAGGAGAAGCTGGAGGCTCTGGCCAGGATACTGGATGTACCAAAAGAGGTAAGGTGTTGCACCATAAGAATAGCTGCATTTGAGCTCTAGTGAGGCTCCTTCAGAGACGGTGAGGTGAGCATCAGGCTGGACCACTGACTGGGCTCTGTTTCCTCCTGTAACACCAAAGCAGCATCATTAAGACCAGGACAGACCTACCTGTAAGGGCAGTATGCCCCTTGTGTAGATCCTGGCTAGGAACATGTTCCTTCTGTGGAAACAAGGCAGGGAATGAAATAATACTTACTCAACGAGAGGAACATGCCCAGCAGCAGAATGGTCAGTGGGAACATGGCTAGGCAGGAGAAGGCAGGAAGATGTATTCTGCAGAATCTCCTTGAGCAGGAATGAGTAGAACATGGATTGACAAGCTCTTGTGGACAAGGCTTGGAGACTATTAACCAAGAGATGCTCCCTTGGCAACGACTGCTGTAGCACCCTTTCTACTCACAACTGCACCTCAGAGAGCTGTGAGATAAAAAGATTCTCTAGCATGACAAGATTTTTTTTCAATGTAGACCTTCAGTCCATGCAGCATTGCTGCCCTCTGGAGGACAAAAGTGGAAATAAATTGTCTTAAAATTTTTGTTGGGTTTTTTCTTTTTCTTTCTTTCTTTCTTTCTTTCTTTCTTTCTTTCTTTTCCTTCTCTCTCTCTCTCTCTCACTTCCTCCCTTCCTTTCTTTTTTTCTTTTTTCTTTCATATTTTTGGTCTTTTAAGACAGGGTTTCTCTGTAGTTTTGGAGCCTGTCCTGGAGCTAGCTCTTGTAGACCAGGGTGGCCTCGAACTCTCAGAGCTCTGCCTCTTTTGCCTCCTGAATGCTGGCATGAAAGGCATGCGCCACCACCGTCCAGCAGGTTTATTTTCTTTTTTTTTTTTTTCAGGTTTATTTTCTTAAGCAATAAAATCTGGCAAGAGCGCTTTTTAAAAAGATAATTGAAGTTTATGAATTAAGTTTTAAGTAGTAGTATTTAATCTTATGAGCTAGAGAATGCTATTATTCCCATATTATAAATGGGGAAGCTGAAGAACAGAAGAAAGGGTGTGTCGCAGCAAGGGACAGGCCTGGAGTTTCTCTCATTACTGTGACCAAGGAGCCCCATCAGCAAGGCCTGACGACTGCGCGCATCTATTACTACCTCTCTCGCAGCGCCAGTTGTCCTGATACAACGGATGGGAAAGAGAGCCTTTATGGGCTAAATAGTTTTTGGATGCAAACATGGGGGTTTGGGCTCTCTACTGAAAACTCAGTTCTCCCAATTCGTTTACTAAAATGACACCACTGTTATTTCTTTCTATTGCATGTCTTAAGAGTGAGGGAAGAAGAAATGCCAACAGCGAAGCTAGCCTTGGTAAAAAGCATGGGAGAATCCCTCTGCACGGGAGGAGAAGCCTACCGGTGTGACAGACAAAGGGAACAGGATTAATTGCCTTCTGTGTAAAGTTCTAAGTAAATTAATTTTACTTATATGTTTCAAACAGCAGTTGAATGGGGATGAAGATCTTTGAGAGGAAGGCAAAACCACTGATACCAGAGTCATGGAGGAGGAGGACGGAACCACCAGTACTAGAATCCCAGAGGAAGACAGAAACACCAGTACTAGAGTCCCAGAGGAGGAGGATGGAACCACCAGTACCAGAGTCCCAGGGGAGGAGGACAGAACCACCAGTAATAGAGTCCCAGAGGAGGAGGAGGACAGAACCACACTAGTACGACAGTCAAGACAAAACTGTCAGTCAAAGCCTTGTTTCAGCAGACAGTATCTCCTAATAAGGAAATGATAGAGCATGAGAGTCCATTACTGTATTTAATTAAAAGATACAATGATATTTATTAAGGAAACAATGAAGAAAAAGCAAAATAATTGGTGAAGGACCATAAAATATCAGACAGATAGGACTCTGCTTAGAGTTGAGGAAACTCCAAACTAGAGCCTAAAGATAGTGATGTTTTTTTCTCAGAAGGTAGGTGCTTTGGGGGAATGAAATAATTTCTTTCCCTAAATATATAAGCAAGTCTTTGAGCTTACCAATATTATTTATAAAGCTGTTTAGAACCCATTTCCATTTCCTAATACTTATAATTTTGCTAATTTATCTTTTATACTGGAGTGATTTATACTACTAAACATACAAAGATATGAAACGAAGAAGAGAAGGGAGGAAAATCTAAGTGGGACGAAGTCTCAAGACAAAGGAAAACACACTGAGAAGAACAGAGTGCAGAGAGCCAGGACTGCGGAGGAGAGAAGAGTGATTTAGGAACCCTACAACTGAGCACACATTCTGAGGGGATAAAATATACCAAATCTTCATGGACAGGGACATTGTGATGCTTTTCACAATAGCCAAGAAATGGAACCAACCAAGGTGCACATTGATGCATTAATGGGTATATAAATTGTGGTAGATACACAAAACGGAACATTATTGACCCATAGAAAGAGTGAATGAATCCAGTCATTTGTACCAACATGAATTGAATTTAGGGGCCACAGTATGTGAAATAAACCAGACACAAAAAGACAAAAACTGCTTATTTTTCATCATTTGTAGGTGTTAAAATCTGATTTCAGAATAACTGAATAGAACCGTGTTTATTAGAGACTGGGGAGGGGGAGGGTGGGAAGTGGTGAGATAACAGGTGTCAGAAAACCATAAAATAGGAAGGACTGGTTTTGCTGCTCTGCAGGAGCTGGCTACAGCTTGCAGGACTCATGAAACATCTCACGATTAGAAGACACGACACTGCAGACTGCAGTCCAAAGAGATGATAAAATGCTGAGGAGTTACAAGTGTTTATTTTCACTATTTGATCATTACAATCATTACACATTTCATGTGTGTGTGTGCATTTAACTATTACTATATACTACATGGATATGTGTAGATGTGATTCTGGAAAGTTTTAGAAAGAAATATTATACTTTGAGTACATAAATTGTGTGAATAATATATCAAGAAAAAGTGTCTCTTTTAAAAAATAATGCCTTTAAATACTATAATTCTGTAATACTTTCATAAATTTTATGCTGGGTAGGAAATTTGCCAATGGTTTTTACCACTTTTAAAAATTCATTTCAGCTGTGTGCTCTCATAAGTAATTTTCTATGCACAGTACATATTTAAAATATTTTTATAAGTTCTTTGAAAATGTCATTGTATTTTGATCATGTTCATATACTCTCCTATGTTCCCCATATCTACTAACCTTTTACACCCACCCAACACTGTCTTTAGTTTTTTGTTTTTTGCTTTTTTTTTTTTTAAAAAAAACACCCACTGGTTGCAATTTATTCTGTCTATATACTTGGGTGTGTGACTCTCTCTACTAGAATGTGTCAACCTGCCAGTGACTGCACTCTTGAAGAAAGCTAACTCTTCCCTTCCTAGCTGCTATCAATCACCAGCAGTTACTCAACTAGGGATGAAACTTAGCACCCACCTCCCCCTCCATGCTGGAATGACCAAGACTGAGCTTGTCCAGATCCTGTACTTGGTGTCACAGCTGCCTATGAGATCATATGTGCAGCTTCCCTCTATATCCAGAAAGCATCGCACCATTGCGGTCTTCCACTGCCTCTGATCCTTACCATCTTTATACCCCTCTTCTGAGATGATTTCCGATCCTTAGGAGGAGGGTATGAGATGTCCCATTTAGGGCTGACCATTTCACAGTCTCTTTTCTCTGCACTTAAGCAGTTGTAGATCTCTCTGTTAACCACCATCCACATCAAAAGAAATTCTTTGGTGAAGTCTACATGTTCAGTAAGTCATTAAGAATTGTTTAGAGAGGCGCAGCGGCAGCGGCGCCAGACGCGGCTGAGCGCGGCCAGACCCAAGCGGCTGGGACAGGCATGCAATAAGGAGAGCAGATCGCCCTACTACAATTGAATCAAAGAGGTAGGCCTTTGGTTGGCCAGGTCACTGGCACAAGGGGAGCCTGGTCCTGTCCTGAAGATCCTTCGGAGGGGTGAGAGGGTTCTTGGCCTGCAGCAGGAACCACGAAAGAGAGTGAGGGCATTTTGTAAGCGGAGCCCTTGGCCAGCAGGGAAACCTGATCCGGTTTCTAAAGGATCCATTGGATAGGATCAATAGGAGGAGATGGGCAGGCGCCAAGGCAAGAACTCACCCAATAATCCGAAAAACAACATGAAAACATCAGAACCCAATGATCTTACAACAGAAGTATTTGAACAACCTAACACAGAAGAAGTGGAAAAAATCGACTTTATGAAGATAATAGAGTCCCTTAAACAACATGTAAAAAATGCCCTTATAGAAATGGATGAGAAGTATAACAAAAAGTTTGAAGAAATGAGTAAATACGTACATGATACCCTGGGAAACCAAGAAAAAACCATCAAACAGGTAATGGAAACAGTTCAAGAATTGAAAACTGAAATGAAGGCAAAGAAGAAAATACAAACTGAGGACCAGCTGGATATGGAAAATCTAGGCCAATGAGCAGAGTCTACAGAAACAAGCATAATCAATAGAATACAAGAGCTAGAAGAAAGACTCTCAGATGCTGAGGACACCATAGAGAAAATAAACGAACAGATCAAAGAAAACAGCAAAGCCAACAAATTCTCAACACAAAACATTCAGGAACTATGGGACACAATAAAAAAACCAAACCTAAGAATAATAGGAATAGAAGAAGGAGAAGAGTCACAGCTCAAAGGCTCAGAAAATAATTTCAACAAAATTATGGAAAAAAACTTTCCCAACTTAAAGAAAGATATTCATTTAAATATTCAAGAAGCATACAGAACACCAAACAGACTGGATCAAAGAAAAACATCTCCTCGCCATATAATAATCAAAACACAAAATATACAGGTTAAAGAAAGAATATTAAGAGCTGCAAAAGAAAAAGGGCAAGTAACTTATAAAGGTAAACCGATCAGACTTACACCTGACTTCTCGATGGAAACTATGAAAGCCAGAAGGTCCTGGATAGAGGTTCTGCAGAAGCTAAGAGACCATGGATGCAAACCCAAACTACTATACCAGCCAAGCTATCGTTCACTATCAACGGAGAAAACAAGACATTCCAGGATAAGAACAAATTTAAACAATACGTAGCCACAAATCCAGCCCTACAGAAAGTA